TGATTCCTGATCTCGGTTATATTTTTGTTTTGTGCTAAGTGTGCACATACTTTTGAAACAAAGGAGAAAGTTTTCTTTAATAAAAAATTATGTTAGCAGCTACGATGTTCTTTCAGAATAAGTGTTCGTAAGTTATCGCACACAAGGAATTGAATGGTCAAGGTCACAGGTTACAAAAAGCAATGGTATCCGCAAAAAAATAAAAAGTTGGGTGTGCACATACTTTTGAAACACACTGTAGGTTATCCAAAAAGTATCAGCCGGGAACTCCAAAATAGTCCAGCTTTTTTTTCTGAAGTTTTCTGGAAGTTTTTATGCCATATAAGGACACTACCCACTCGTATGCGCACAAAATATTCGGCAGCCTCTTCCTTGCTGATACACCTCTTCGATGGCCGGACTGTCTCCAACTAGTCGACAAGACTTTTAAAGGCACAGTTCACGATGAAAACGGTTCAGGAATTTTCATCTAGGATAGCATCCCACAAAGATAGCATGTGGGACACTGCCGGGACGAAAATCGACATCGACAGGGCGTTGTAAAGATTCCAAAATCGACCACTTAGATACCGCCGACGTAACTCGTAGGTGTTCAAAAGTAGTCGTGCCCTCATGGCGATTTTTGCGCTTTCTTCGCCAATTTTGCACTATTCAGCGCCATTACTTCCCTTACTTCACTTCGCCTAAACATCTCAGAATTGTGGTGAGCTGTGCCAGTGCCGAATTCGATTCCAGTCCTTTCACTGCTAAATCCTGTCGAAATCTGTGTCAAGGATTCCGTCTGGGCAGTTCCGTACATGCTTACTTGCAACGTACTTGCAACGCTTCAAAGCTGGAAACAAGAAAGCCGAAGATGAACTTGACCGGCGGTCAGGTCGCGACATCGTGAAACATTTGGTTATGTTACGCGCATACAAGTTGGTAGTGTTCTCTTACAGTGTTCCTGTGAGAACCTTAGGAATCTCAGAGAAAAATCAGGGACATTTGTAAAACCTATCGCGAATACTGTCCGAACAGCGTAATATTAATGTAATGACTATTTATCAGGAGGTATCACGAGGGAATTAACCCATTAACGAATACCTAAAAAACTAATCAATGCAATGCAATTCGAAATATAAGTAAATAATGGCAAGAAAAAAGTAAAAAAAAGGAAAAAAGAAAGGAAACTCACACCGAAGAAAGTATCGCTTTCATCCACATCTTCAGGAGATGCAATTACTTCATATACCTGAAATGGAAATTATACAGATCCACAGATAAAGCTCGATGTGAGACGGTGACCTTATCGCAAGGTGGTTCGCCTTCCGAGACTGAGAATCCCGTTAAACGTTCTGATTTGTTTTTCACGTTGGCCTCGCTATCCGCTATGGCATCATATGACGGTGGTCCTTCGGCAGAGGGGCGACTGCCAGATTCGTAGAAGACGTCCATCAACAGAATTCGTTGAAGAGCTCGCTTCACCTCAATCGGCGACAGTTGTTTGTTGGTGATTCTGAATACCCAGATCAATTACCAGGAAAACCCAAAAGCAACGTTATTCAGTCAGTTCGCGCTCCCAACAGCAGGACACGAATGACAAAACTATTACTTCCAAACGCATTTCCTGCATTTATGGTACACAAGTACAAACATTTCCTGCACACAGCTCCTCAGTCAAGACAGACATGGGGTTTTTGATGGGAAGTAAGGGAGAGAGAGTAATCAGCGCCATCTTGAAAGAAAAACACGATTGCAACTTGATGTCATAAAGTTTTCTCAAAGGAGTCTGTAAGAAGAATATAGAGGAACACACCCATTCGCGATATCATCCAAGGAGAGGACCACCTTCTCCATTCCATCGTATTTTTTAGGCTCATGTTCGTTTTCAGAAGTCTTCAAACGGTTGCGATTCCTCTGTGAGAGCGTTACTTGGAGCGCTGAACGAGTCAAATTTTCAGATGAACTGATAAGATTTTGTAGGGAAACATCTGTAAAAGACAGCACATGCTAGGCAGAGAAACTCTAGACTAGAGAGAGAAACCCTCCATTTTCGATTGAATAGTGTTATAGCAAGTCACGCTAGCCCTTACCTCATACTAATTCTCAATTCATGGGACCTAAACTGATGAAAGCACGAAATGCTCAGCAAAGGAGCCTAGGAGACAGCATTAGAGCCCACTTCAAGCTCATGAGGTGACCTTCGCTTTTGAGATGACCAACTTGCGCCATTGGGCTAGAGCCTTCATAAGAAAGCGTATCAGTGTCCACTGTACTGATGGAAATGCTTTGGCACGTCAGACAAAAACTCACCGTCGAAATTGGCGATAAAACTGTTTAGCTTGGCATTGACCTTGAAGATCAACCGGAAAACCAACAAGAAAGCCGTGCTAAATTGGACCCGGAGCAAGGAAAGAATGAAAAGGCGTAGTACTTCGCTGCGATGCAGTATGTACAGGTCCAAGAGTGTCTGAAAGATCAGTGACCTGATTGATGAGCCGAGAGAGTAACTAATAATAAGATCACAAATGAAGTTTTTCCATATTTCATAAAGATGTTCAGAATTTGAAACAATCTTCGGAGTCCAGATTAGAAAGGGATTTTTACCAGGCGAGGAGCTTGGGAACTCCTCGCTCGGTGAAAATGAGGAATCTTCTGAAGGCACATCCTTGAAGAGCTATGCTGCACTGCGTTTATTCAGCACAACGATACTCCTGTAGGCGAAAACAGTAGTCCAGGTGCGCTGGAAAAACCTGGGTGCCTCCCGCATAAGTGAACTATTTGTCGACGTACTAAGATCCGAAGGTTCTCCTGGGGGAAAGCCCCAGAAACCACTTGCCATGAACTGTGTTTTTGAACAATTCATGCTAATGCTTTTGTTTGAAATTGACAATAGCCAAGCAATACCAGTTTATGAATACTTCTGATAAAAATTACAAATCAACAATGTATTTAACCCTACAATTACGCAATTGACATATAGGGAGTGGCAGGCTTTGACTTCTTTCTCATAGCTCATTATTCCTACCAAAGATTTCCTAGATATGAAAAAAATAGTGAGTCAGTATGATTAGGTAAAAAGAGGAAATAGTAAAATCAAACCTTACCCCAACCCCTCGCTGTGTAATGTGGGGCGATTCCGAATCCACCGGCGAGTAGACTAAATCGTGCATTTCTTCTGTATAGAAAGCACTGATCAATCGTCTTTCCTCATCTTTCCTGAACAGAATTCTACATTCAGTAAGTATTGGTCTTGCTTTACCGATGATCTTGTTCCCGTTCGATTAGTTTTCTTTAACTATCATTTACATCTAGACAGCACACATTGGAAGAAGTGTATCAAGCATTCTCCAGTTGAAGTCTCATCGTTTGGCGATCGTTGGGTTGTATCAAAAATCCTCTAGAACATCATAGTGCCGACAATCGCAGGCTCTCATAGAAGGTTACTTCAAGAACCATAATACTTAACGATTCCTCCCGACCTTGTAGCGCATGACTCTTTCTGAGAAGAAAAGGCGAATATCGAGCAACTCATTTCTCCATAACACGAAAGAGCAGTATTTGTTTGGGTGGGATGTCTTACCACATCCCCCATATAGTATGGATATCGCGCCATCAGACTACCGCCTGTTCGGTCTCTGCAAAATTCCCTGAGTGAAAAATCATTCGATTCATTGGACTGCAAAACGCACCTAAAAGAATTTTTAAATTCTAATTCTACAACCTTCTATGAAAGTGGGATAATGAAAACACCAGAAAGATGGCGGACCATTGTAGAGCAGAATGAAGATTATATTGTTTAATAAATGTATTTGTTTAGAAATTTACACACAAAGTCGACCCAGAAATCGGCACGAACTTTCCGGACAATTCATGAAATTAGTGGCCAGGAAAAGCTACTAGGTTGTGTACAAAGAAACTGCGTTTTTTGACATCAATTTTTAACTTGTTTTTTGTGTAGTAGTCATCCTATGTTTATATTGTTATACATCATTTTAAAGCTTATCTAGTGGTTTTCTTTTTTTTTTTTTGATTGACGTTTGTATCAAGTTTCATTTTTTGAGAATTTCTGAGATTTTTCTAAGAAGGAGATTTGTATCATATCCCTTCGTCAACTCAAAACAGGACGGAAGGCTGTAGAGGCCGATGAAATTTGTGGAAGGGTATGCACCAAATGCTTTTTTTTTAGTTCGCTGCACTCGAGACTAGACCCGAAATTTCCGCTTCAGAGACGCTCACCACCAATGTGAGCCTGGTCGAGGTCGGATAAACCAAAACTGTTCGTGAGTTGACAAAAGAATTTCTTCTAAGCCTTCGAAAAACTTTGAAAGGCGGTGAAGATAGATCAGTGGTTGCCCCATAAAGTGAGCATTCAACCCTCAGACCAACGCCTCACGAAAAACGCTCTAAAAGTTGAACGACCTCGGCGATAAAACTCTACATCATCCAGGATACTCACCAGACCCATCGCCAACAGATTACCATATTTTCAAACACATCAACAACTTCGTCAAGGACAGGCCCTGACAGATGCTGAAACTGCTTCAACAACTTAATTGCCTCCAAAAGTTCGGATTTCTCCCGCAAGTGTATTTATGATCTGGTAGAACACTGGCAAGAATTATCGATTTTAAAGGTGCTTCTTTTGTTCATTAAAGTGTTGGTCGAGCTATGGACGTTTGAAGACACGCGGCAAAAAACGCCAATTTTCTATACACAACCTTATTTTTCTGAAAATATCTTCTGAGCAATATCTTCTTGGACTACAGCTTCTTGGACTACAGCTGGAGCATCTTCTTGGACTACAGCTACGACCAACAAGAGAAGGTGAGGAAGAACCATATTCAAAGGCACAATTCACGATAATAACGGTTTTTGAGATTGCCCTATAGTATGAATTCGAGGCTCCCCCTTATACTATATTTGCCGCTATAAAGTCGAAAAACGTCATGGATAGGGCACAATAAGGGGCCAGAGGCTGTACCGTGTGAATGCCGAACCCATCGTGGACGTGTTTCAGCGGCTTCATAGTGGCTGCATTATCTCAAGAGACTCCTATGTAGGAGGTTCAAACAACTTGTTATAACCTATGGCGGCAGTAAAATGCAGTTTCGGACAATTTCGGCTTGATGTAGTCATCTCTTTGAGCAAAGGGAGCAAGTTAAAGGCGCTGTTCACGAAAAAATGGTTTCGGGATTTGCTCATGGTTTGAATTCGACGCCCCCTCTGATACCATTTGTGCAGCAATGAGGTCGGAAAACGGCTGGATAGGGCACAATAGGGGGTCGGAGAGTTATCCACGGTCGCCCTCCGCCCCTCGCTAGGCTGACTACGAGTTCTAATTGTCCTTCTCCACATTGGCATTGGAGCGAAGTTGGTGAAAAGTCGATAAGCTGGTTGGCAAATTGCCAGAGACGCAATGTGTTGTCTGCTATTGCAGACAACACATTGCGTCGCCTTCGTGCACTCGCCCCAACACTCCCTAACCGCCGTTATTTCAATGTGAGACTCGTCCAACCCACCTTTCCAGCTCTTTTTTTGACCCCTCGTAATTCTTTTTGTTCATCGTTTTTTGCACTTTTTTCGTTGTTATCGCTTTATTCTAGAGTAGTTCTATCAATTCCCGTCAAAGAAGGGTACCCTAAATTTATTGCTAACGGTGCCTTTGAACCTCGTCCAAATACCCTTTACATGCCATTACCGCGATGTCGTACAACCTGGAGAACGTCCGTTGCGCGTGTCCGTCGAAAGAAGGTCACACCGCTCACTTCGCGCGCGGCGCATCACATTGAGGTCTCGAGATGACATTACAGTACCACCAAGTGTCATTGGAGCAAATGATTTGCATTCGTTTGTGTTATCTTCTTGTTGAACTAACTGCCGTGGACCAAACGCAAAGCGTATGCCCCAGTGACAATTGCCACGTCTGTCAAATATCGCGGGCCGACTCGCCGCGTGCGACGGCTGCGGCGTGACCTAATTTCGACGGACACCCGCAACGAAGCGTACCCCGTACATCCTCCATTTCTCGCTTTCTTCGATCGATGCACTCCTCTACATCAACCTTTCGCTTTTCAACCTGAAAAGTGCCACTCAACTTCACTGTGAATTGCGCCTTTAATGGAAGACGCGCGTAGGACTAGGAAGAAAACTAGTCGATCCTTCTTGATACGCGCTAGTTGCATCAGGGCCATGACTAGAACAGAGCACATTTCATCGAATCAAGAAATTGCTAGACTAAATTCGCATTAAATTCTAGTTTAACCCTCGAAATATACTATTTTCATCTCTGACATTGTAGTATTTGCAAATTTGTATCGAAATGTAGGAAGAGGAAAGAATAATGACTGACATGGAAGGCATTGCGACAAATTGGTTAGCAATTGCGTTGAACAGGTGAACCATCTCTCTGCAATGAAAAAATAGCCGAAAGCGGCACGCAGAGTGAAGACGAGTCGACGGGAGGCCCAGCCTGAACGTGCTTAATCAGTGAGATGTGTAGAAAAGAATACAATGTGCTAAGGCTTACCCAAACGAGAGTGCTTCCCTTCGTAGCAAAGCACGATTTGCGTTCTGTGCCGACACCTCCACATTCTTCATGGCTCGTAGAAGTACTTTGAGCCTCCATCGAATGAAATACGATAAGGCCAATCCGAAGGCTATCACAAGAACGATGACTTCGCCAATCAAGTACAAGGTACCAGCGACCCAGAGTGCCGAGACTAGAGCAGTCAAGGAACCGAGAAAAACGAAAAGTAGCCAGCGATTAGGGGATTCTGGAAGTGACGAAACACTGGCTAGAATATCTTCCTCATCAACCTGAAATAGTATAATTATGCTGCACTTGAGTCGCCTTGAACACTGACCGCACCGCTTTCTAACCGAGCCAAGCTAGTTCGAGACCAAAATCCTAAGTTACTCGAAGATAGTTTCGTAGGAGGAGTTGGAACCTTGGTGGCACGGTTCACGATAAAAAAGGTTACTGAGTTCTTCCTTTAGGGATACTCA